TATCTTATAAAGAAGTTTATAATCTTAGGATATCTTATAAAGAAGTTCATTTTCATGTTTCTTCCACATCTTCCCAGGTTGGCCACCGTGCCCTTGCTGGTGGCAGCCCTTTGCAGCTGCGCACCCATGACGCCCGTGGCCACCCTGCGGCGACCACTGGGGACGAGCTCGGCGCCGATCTCGGCGGCGCAAGCGGCGGCCGTGGTGGCCACGGTCTTCCTGGCCGATCGCGCTGCCGAGCGGTTGTTGGTGAAGCGCTGGTGGGTGGCGACCCTGGGTCACGTGGCTGTTGGTGAAGCGCGGGGGAAGGGGGGAGGTGAGCGGCTCGAAGGTGGGAGGCTTCAGGTGAGACAGATCCAGAAAGAGCGGAAAGAGGTGTCTTTTTTTTGCTGAAGTTGTGACATATTGACTCGGATTTTGGTGGGCTTTATTTTGTTGGAGATGCGAGAGTTCTTGCCGCAGGTAGTTGATTTTGTCATCCCGAAACCCAGCGGCGTGTCCGACCTCTACATGAAACTGTTTAGGCGTGCAAGTATCCATGTGAAACATGCCGTAAGCGTTTGGCTTGAAGAGAAAACCCGCACAAACATGCAACGTGTCAATGTGCACCTCGCTACCACCGGAGAGCTTCATTCCACAAAAGTTCTTCCTTGTGGCTCCAGGGTGGTGGATCTGCTAAAAGAGCTGAACGAAGAGAAGAATCATATCAGCATTGTCCTCAGTGGTGAACGCGTTTTGGACACCCAGGAGAGGTTGCCATGTGGTGAAGAGATTTCTGTCCAGTTGCTGCGCCAAAGCTTATTTGGCCGTTGGAGACGGCGAACCGGAGCCAAGCCGACAATGACCAAGGCAATCCATGAGTACAAGGAAGAGATCTTGTTGTTGCGCCCGGATGGACAAGGCCGCTTCTCAATGACGCGCACCTTGGTGGCTCATGCAACAGGCGAAAAATATGGTGATGATATTAAGACCGTGGGGTGTTCACCTGTGAATCTGAAAGAGGATCCCGACGGCTTAGGCAGATTTTTGCAGAGCAGCGAGGAGGGAGCACCATGGCAAGTTCAAGTTCTTGGAGGGCGTGCAGAGCCTTCCGTTTGCATCAAGGGTGCAGGTTGGAGGATGGATCATCTCTTTAAGCACGAAGTGGTCGCAGGACCACAAAGCTTCGTTGTGCCATTACAGGCGCTCTGGAAAACATGGGAGTTTTCCACCTGAGCAGCTGCAGAGCAGCTGCAAGAGCTCCTTCAGCTGACAAAGCTCGGCGCTTTTTTTTGGTCCAGAACATCTGGAGAATCATGTGAGGAGTTGGAAGCAGAGGGGTGCCAGTTGCATCAATGATGCTGGGGGTTTGATCTCCCTAAGGGGGATTCCGGACTCATATAGACTCATGCTTGTTTGAGCATTATGCATGGGGCTTGGAGCAGGTTCGACAGGCAGTTTGCATGCATTCAAAGCGCGTAGTCCAATTTCAGAACACCTTCTTGATGCACCTGGTGTTCGATGCTGTTTGGCAGACATGCCAAGTTTGCCAGACATGCCGTCGATCGTGTCTGAGGAAATCTCCTGGCTGCCCTGCTTTGCCTCAACTTTCCAGAAGCCCGGCGCCCTCGGCTCTCGGAGTGGGCCGGGAACTATGCCAATCTCCGTGCCGCGAGCTCAAGTGCTGCCATGGCGGCAGGAGCAGCCAGACAGTCTTGTTCGCAGAGGTGCACTCAGCCAGACCGACATCGTAGCCACCTGCTAGAAAACAAAAAGGACATAAACCTGTTTGTTTCTTACAGTGCATACATACTTGGAGACACCTGGGGCCCCGCCCCACCTCACCACCTGACGTGGAGGATCTTTGACTCTTGAAGGGCGCGAGAAACGATTGACGTCTATGTGCAAGGTCTATCCTATTGGTTCAAGCAAGCTTCAACCAGTCACGACCATATTCCTCGACTCCATCCATGCAGGACGGCGGCCCAGCTCGTTTGTGCCCAGTACTCTCGCGAGCAGTCGCGTTGCGAGTGCAGCTGACTTGGTGGGTGGGCTCAGGCGCTTGAGCGCCCGGCTCTTGAAGCCACCACTGCAGGAGCAAGAGGAGGTCTGGGCACAACCTGGTGGGGCAATGGGTGGGTTGCAAATATTCGGGTCCTGACGCACGGGGAAAGGACTGTGGAAAATGGTTGAAGATATGAATCCAGCAGCCTTTTGCCACACATTTGTTTGCAGAACTGTCCAGGATCCCCAGATTGCAAACTTGCAGCTTGCCATTTTTAGGTACTAACTAAGGAGGCAGGGCGGACCCATGGTCCCTGGAAGACCCCTGGAAGACGAGTCCCTACCAAATCGGCTGTTTCTTGGTTGGATCACCATGGATCACTGGCCCGCTGCCCCACCGTCGTGAGGCACACGATCCAAGCTTCTGGAACTGCCTGTTGGCAGAGCTCTGGCCCAGCTTGCGTGGAATGATCGAAGAAGATATCCTGAAAGGGGAGGTACAGTCAGTGCTCCAGGACTGAACTCTGTGGTCATGTGTGGTCGTGCAGTCGTGCTTCGATGATGCGAGAGCATCAATGGGCATTTAAGAGGCCCCCCCAGACACATACACACGCACATACAGCACGTGCCTTTCTTTTTTCAGAATATCATAGCAACCTTAGTTTGGTCCTCTACCAGGCAGTTGCTAGAGTATATAGTTTGAGGAGGGGATTGACCCGGCCCCCAAGAGGTTGACTCTCCAGTTCGACTGTATCAACTAGCTATGAGCTATCCTTGACTGAGCGGCAGTCCAAGAATGGTCATCACGAATTACAAGTTAGCCTCAAATCATCCCAAAAGAGGTACCCCTGGATGGACACCAACATCGGACTTCTCGACTTCCACGTGTTTTTTTCTCTTTTGGCCAAACAAAAAACACACGGGCTCTGAGATCGGTCAGGAAAGTGTCACTGCAGCCTTGAAGTTCGACACTGCCTTCTTGGGCACTGAACCGCCCAAGGCGAAGCTCGGAACCCGGTCAGTCCGGGTGGCACCTCTCTGGGTCCGGGTGGGGCGGGTAGGGTGAAAAGGGTCACCTACGGGTGGCATCCTAAGACAGAAGTACCATCCGGTTTCCCCAAAGCGTGGGGAGAAGTGGTTTCTCCTTGATTTCTTTTTCAAAGTGGTTTGGGCAGAAATCACGAAACCAACCAGCGACTGCCACTGGATTGGATGCTGGTGGAGTGAAGTAACACTTCCTCTTTTTGGCTACGACTGTGATCAGATTCTTGTTGAGCATGCCATCGACTCTTTGATGACTACAGTGAAGTGCTACCACCCAGTCGTGTTCAGCATCAACATGGAGACCCACCCCCGAAGCCAGGGACTTCACCTCTTAGGCCCTGAACAATCCCAGGAAGCCAAAAGGAATGACTAGCAGGCCATCTGGGGCCTAGTGCTTAATTCGCTTAATTTAATCAAACTTCCTAAACCAGACATTGGAAGAGTTATGAAGAATTGATGTTGACCATGATGCGAGATGCTCTTGAGACTTCTACCAGCTCCACCGCAGGTGCTGTCTTTGCGGATGCTCTCCACCCACAGGCGTTCTGCGGAGGGAACAGGGATCGATGGCCGACGGTCACGTCGGGGATCGCCTTTGAATGAACACTGTGACATGGCATAGAAGCATTATAAGCATTTCCTGTTTTCTCGCGTAATGGTTTTGTTTTTTGCTTCCTCTCATGCACTCTCATACAATATGCTTGAATAGGTCATGGAGACCGAATCATTTCATTCAGAACTCCCGGCTGAACTCATCCCACGTTTTGCTTTCTGGCTTTTTTGGGGTGTCTGTGGAAGTGAACAACATTTGCACTCTTCCTTTTCCGTCTGGAAAAGGCGTTGGTAAAAACAACCTACGTGCGCCACCAGGAAACCCTCGGTGTTTGGGGAAACCATGACCCACCTTGTCACGTGTTTGAGGCCAGAAAGGTCCATCCTCTTTGTGATGGACACCGAGTTTGTGAGCAAGGACGGTTGCCTCACAACCCGCCGAGAGTTTTTTTTTTGCCGGATGCATTTGTTAATTTAAGGGTCCATATTATTGGAAAAGACTGGGAAACCCATGGAAAACCGATGTTACTGTTATTTGTTTTGAGCATATATTCTTGGGGCGAGTCTCCCCAGAACAAAAAAGACACATGCAAAAGCCAGCATCCCCAAGAGCGTTGGGCAGTGTCTTGAGATTTTTTGGGAAGCTGCATGTATAGACAGATGCCTAAACATGGAGAGTTCCTGCAATCCACACGGATTGGTTATTAACTCCTCCTGGAGCCCAGTGATTTGTCCGGGTTCCCCAAACGAAAGAAACCATACCCATTTAGGGTCGCCTTCTTCCTGAGGTATTGTGTGACAATGATTGAACATAGCTGGCTCCAGTTAATTGATGTTTCCAGCATGTAGAACCTTGTAGAACCTCGTAATGGGCAGACACTTTCCCTGTACAATCCGAAAGAAAAAGCTAATGAGTCGCCCATAAGTCAAGTCGTTGTTCTCCCCAGTGGTGCGAACAACCCAGCTCACCGATCGACCAGCGCTTACCTCCGCCGCAGGAGGTGGACTTGACCTTGAAGCTCACCTTGGGCAGCTTCATGGGTCTCTCACTGGGCGTCAGCAAGCTCACCTTGCGGGGGAAACTTTTCCTGGGCTTCCGACGCCTGGTGAAGTTGCGATCCTCGAGTGGTTGTGGGTTGCAGTGAAACCCGTAATTTTCAAACCTTGGGATCAGTGGAGTCTGTTGACTAGATGGCCCGTTTTGTTCATTGAAAAGGCAAAGGATGTCAGATATCACCTGGAATTGTTTGGATATTGAACAGGAGCAAAGCAAGTCAGGTTTGTCATTTCGTGAACATAGCTTTTCTGAGATCTGGGGATATTCTTTGACCAAAGAGAGGCGGTCAACATAGCAGCCATGAATCACTGAACATCGACTGCGGAGAGTTGTGACAGGTTTGACCGTTCAAGCTTTAGGGACTGCATCCTCCGATGCTCTTTGGAGTTTCGATATCAGGAGCCAAACAGTGAATCAGGGAAACGATAAACTACGAGGTTGAGACGATGCGATGTAATTACCTCTGAAGATGTGTTTGCGTGGGTTGGCCATTTGAGGACACCTAACGCCCCATTTGCCGCGCCTTGGATGCACGCAAGGCTGTTAATGAGGTCTTGGTATGTCTTAGTTCTTTGTTACAGAACTGTCGCAACATGTCGCAACAGATTTTCTTCACTTTTGGCCTTTGGGGTGGTGCAGGTTTGCAGACAGAAGCGAGATTTGAGTTAGCTCTCAGGACCTGATTGGAGTTGTTCGCCAGCATGGCTCCACCAGAACCACTCTAATCTCCCATCTCACCGTGCACGACTGATCTTTTTGTTACCATGCCAACACAGCTGTTCATGCCGATCACTCACCTGTTCCGCCAGTCACCTTCAAGTCCCACCACAGAAAAAGAACCCACCAGGGAGTCCGTTCGTCCGTTCCCGCGGTGTCTCGCGACCGTTCCGTTCCGCGGTGTCGGCAGGTTGACCCAGGGCCTCACCGTGGGCTTCGCCGATCCCCCGGCGATCGATCTGGAAGTCACCACGCCCTCGGCGCTGGGCGTGCCCTTCGTGCCGGAGAGGGCGTCCTGGATGCCCACCGTGTCGGGTCGGTGAAAGCCATGGTGTGGTAGGTTGGTCCCGAGAGGGTCGGTGCTCAGGTCGGTGCTGAAAATTCTCCAACATGAGAATTTTTCATGCCATCGTGTGGTTGGAAGACGACTTTCCGCCGCAAAGGGTCCTTTTTGGCAACTTCCATGATCGTTGGATGGGAGGGTGATCTGTTGCGAAGGTGGGGGAAGATTGGGACTACGAGACAAGACCCATATGGTTCTTAATTGGAGGAGAACTGAAGAGACGATCATGGTTGCTTTGGGAAATTGGGATGTTGCTTTTGGATTGAGACAAGGGTTAGTGTCGAAGCTGCTGAAAGCAGCTTTGGTTGTCGGCTGTGACTGTGACTTGTTCCATGATCTGTTCAATGGCTGGTTGACCGACCTATACTCTTGCAAGGATCCCTATCAGGGGGGCCTCCACATCGGGACCTCCGCCAGCTATCTCCAGCTAGTGCACAAACCAGAGTCAGAACCACAAGCGAACATCGATTCCACCAGTCTGTTGACCAACCCAAGTGTTGAGATCCAACCACCGGTTCACTTGGGAGATCTCGGATCCCAAACGTCCGGCAGCGCCGCGGTTTTCTTCGCGGTTTCCGACCGTTCCACGTCTCCGTCCAGGCGCGTGCTGCGTTGATCTCGGTGATCTCGTCGACCTTGGCACACCAGATGGTGTGACTTGGAGAAGCTGATTCATTTGAGCGGGAAAAGGTCGGGCACATACATATCTTATGTCCTGGATACATATTTATTGGAGACCCTTCTACATCAATTGTTTTTTTGGGGGGTTCAGACGTTCTTTTTGCATGCAGCTGTATGCATCAATATTATCGACTACGTCACATGCGCCTTCCAGTAGATGAAAGATAATTAGGATAGAACAGTTGTTCCATGTTGTGTTGTTCCATGTTGTTCCATGTTATATCAGTATCATTATTATACATTATAAATAAGAGAAAGGCGAGAATAGACCAAATCCTCCATGATGAGACATTCTCCCCAGCAGTTGTGATGCAATGTATATAACGTGCTTCATTGGGCTTGATTGAGCATGCTCACGTCCCAACCACCAAACAAAAAGCATCAAAACACCGATCGCAAGTCCCCACGCGTGAAAGCTGAACAGCATGTCCTTGGTCGCGTCAGTTTCATTTACGCCGAAAAACACCAAGTCTACGCTCCTGGCTCTGAGTGCCAGGCTGCCCAATCGCATTCCCTTGCCCTTTGGGACGCTGTGGCCTTTAGACGCTTGGATCGAGATCCGAGAGCAAGAGGATCTGGGGGCTTGGAAGTCGGACGGAAAAATGAACAAAAAAGAATCAGCTGTGGTTTATCTTTAACTCCTTCCTGGTGTCCTGGCGGATTGAACAGATATGTAGAGTTATATATGTGGAAAAGCTTAACTTTAACTGCATCGGAAGGCATTGTAGGGCATTGGACACTCTCCTGTGCCTCCTATGAGTTCGTCTGGGGTTCCTCCCTGTTCCAACTCACCCATGATCTCCCGCCACTGTCAGGATCGCCTGCAACATGCCCGGCCTGAGGCACAGTCACCTGTGTTTGACCGCAGTCGCTTCGGCCCTCTACCAAAACACTTTTTCAGCTGAGCTGGCCACCCGGTAACCAGTGAGGTGGGTAACATGACAACAGTATTGGAGGCCCACCAACATCATGCGTCACCAATGAAAGAAGATGTGACATCATTTGAAATCACATATCTTTGGCTGTTCGGTACTGAAGGTGGCCACGTGATGGGTCCTTGGCGTTGTTTGTTCGGTGCTTGCTGTTTGGGTCGTTTGCTAGGGCGTGCTGGCATGTCGAGTACTTGGAGCTTGCGGAGATGCTTGGTGGAAGATATGGGGCAAGGAGGTGGTGGCGAGAAAAGATGGAGAGCTGAAAAAACAGTAGACACAGTCCGCAGTAGATACAGATAAGTGATCATGTTCTTCGGCAGCTCCGGGTGTGGGAGGTACCATGGGGCCTATGAGGTGTCCTATTTCGGATAGAAGAGCCAGCCTTCAGAGGAGTCATGCTGGTGAAGAACACATCGCCAAGTCAACCCTTTCAATGTTTTTCTTGACTCCTGGTTCAGTAAACACCACCCCAATTGAATTGAAACACCTCTTCGTAATGGGAGGGTTTATTCATCAAGAGTCCACATGTTTTCACAAAACACTCAGTCGCTCAAGTCGCGACTTCGTTTTCGCGCCCCGAGAGATCGGCTCAGGTGACCTCCACGAACCGCCCCTTGAGCTGCGTGCTGCAGCTGGGCGCCGCCAGCTACCGCAGTGCCAAGTCAGAGAGCCACTGAGCTGGGGGGAGATGAAGATCGAAAGATGGGGGAACTCTTCGGACGTTTCGCGTGAAGAAGAGAATTGAAATTCCGCATATATAGTTCTACTATCATCAAAGATACTTTTTCATCGGCCTCCTATGCAAATTATGGGGCTGGGGCAAAACATGGACTCTCTGTCAAACCTTTTCAATCATACGATTCCCTCACTCTCCATGTTCCTCTGCACCTTTGAGAGAAAGGTGTGGGCGGTTGAAGAGGTTAAAACCCCGCTTGTGTTTTCATAGTGAGTATCATACAGCTTTCCAAGTAGAGTTGAATCATGTTCAACACGCCCATACACGCCCGTTACTTTTTGGGGCGGGTTCAACAAACCAACCCCACAATCGATCATTTAACAACTTAAAGATGACAACATATGTTAGTGACAGGTATTTGCAAAAATAGCACCACCATCTCAAGGAAAAAACATTTCAGGCAGCCCACTCAACAAATCGAACAGTTTTCTCCGGTTTGATGAATCCGCAACTCCTTTGTTCATGAACACGTTTGCCGATGTGGGGTGATCAGATTTGGCATCCGAACAATCCTTGAGCGGCATCCGCACGAACCAGGCGAGGACGGCGACTTCCTGTGGGACGAGGAGCCCTTCCTGGTGGTGGATCACTTCGAGCAGTCGCTACTGCTGGCGCTTCACGAGCGGCACACCTTTAATGACCGCGCCATTGCACACCAGGTGGGAGCGCAGGTTGGGCGGTCACGAACCAGCGCAGTTGATCCACCGGTGGTTCTTCACGCAGCGGACGGTGGATCGCGAGGTGGTTCGGTCTCCACCGTTGTCCACCGGCCCACACCAGCGTCATCGGGCATGATGGGGCCATCTCCGAAGTTGGGATGAGGCCATCTCCATCAAAGAGCTGATCGATCGCAGCCGCTGGCAGCACATGCCCAGTTGGTCTCTCCAGGCCACGGACACGTTGTTCGTTGAATGGGAATGTCCGGAAGGCCCGGCTACCTCATGCTTGAGCGGATCCAATCTCCCTGCGGAGAAACAAATGAACAACTTGGCCTCCTTTTTCCTGTGAACATGTCACGCATGTTGTTTGAAGAATCAGAGAAGAATCTACTTTTAGTTGTCGCCCTTTGCTGCTTCTTATATTATACATAACATATCATAACATTACATATCTACTAGATCATTTGAAGCACCCTCTAGTCTAGCCATTATAGATGATCAATTTCACTTATCCTAAAAAATAGCCTAGTTTGGCCAGTTGTGCGGACGGTGGATTTTCATGTCATATCGCATTTTCTTGGACTTTAGCGAAGATGTAGACCAGGCCCGCCAAGCAGTTTATCCATGTTGAAGTTGAAGCCTGGGGCTTGTTGGTGAAGGTGGCAACCGTTCGTCGTCTCCGCACTCTTCGGCACCGGTCCCGGTCCGCACTGACCGGCGAGGCCATGGGTAGCGAGACGACGACTCCACAGTTGCTCAGCAGAGCCATGGGAGGACCTTTCATGGGATTTGTCGGGCACCTGAAAGATTCTTTGGAGCACATGTTTTTCTTTTGTTTGATCAAAAAAGCAGCCAAGATCAGGGTGCTAGCTAGGGCCTAGAGGCCTAGAGTTCTGCTTGGTTTCAGAGCAACTCTGAGTTCCTTATGCATGTTTTGTCTGCTCAGCTCACTCAGTCTGATGGTTTGACCCTCAAAGCCGAAAAGAGCTACGGCACAGCAGTGGCACCTGAGGTTGCTCTTCTCCAGTAGCTTTCACGAGCTGAGCCGCAAGCGTGCCAGCTTCGCCGGCCTGGGATCCTTGCTCTTGCTCACGGCCCGGAGCACCGAGAACGCGATAGGACCACGTGTGCGTTACCTTTGCGCGGGAACGTGCCGGGGGGTGGCGGCCGGAACGTGAGAGGTACGAGAAAAAACAGGATCATGGCACGTAGACTGTGCATTAATGATCACATATACTGTAATCCACCTTCCAGAATGGCTTTACATCTCCATTTGAGTGGTTTTATGGATCAATCACAGTCCGATTACATGACGGTGTGATATTGGTGAGATTCTTCAGCCCAACAGGAGGGCCCTCAGTCTTCTTTGACTGCAACATGCCGCATAAATGCAGTATTACTGTTTGTTTGGGGTTTCAGCACACAGTCACTCACGCATTGATTAAGGTTCCATCCTCTCAAATTTACATAGAACCTTGCTGGAAGAAGGTGAATTTTGCTTAGGTAGAGTCTGAGTGGTACTGCAGAGATGGTTTGCCCCAAAGACATTTGGAGGGGTTTGATATGGGTATTCCGATTGCTGTTTGTTGACACCGGCTTGCTTGTCAAGACTGTTGCTTTCTCCCATGGGTCTGTCCAGTTAGCCCCAGACCATTGACCGGGTATTCTGAAAATATGGGGTTTTCATGAACTTTCGAACAGTGGAAAAATGCTTGGTTGGTTGTTCCCAACTGCGGAAAACTACATCCTGAACCGGGGTCTCTAGTGGTCCAAATCAGCACTGCGTCTGCACGTTTTGGCCTCGTCACCAAGCAGAACACTTGGCGAAGCACCTCCAGTGGGGCACCTTCTCAAAATCTTGTAAAGCACTGGACTTTATCGCAGAAGATGCACAACCGGACATTGGCCTCGGAGTTGCCATCAACATGCACAGTACAGCTGGAGTGGTCCAAGCATACACCGCCGGTGCCCAATTAGGTGCAAGGGAATAAGAATGGGATGCTACAAACATTGTCCAGGTGTGCCCTGCACCTAGACGACGCCGCATCAGCTGATGCCCAATCTGATTGAGCGGGCAAATGACACCAGGCCGCCAACGAAAGTAAGTGTTTTTCAGGTGTAGAAACTCGCCCCGTGTCGCAGGTGGACTGTGCACGTCACGTGCCCCCCGAACTCGATGGAGCCCTCCTGATGCTCCGATGGCGCCTGGGCACGCCTGGTGGGTAGCGCCACCGTGGCAGTGGCCGCAACTGACGGGGGGATGTTTGGCGCATTTTTTCAGGTCACCAACTGACTGGAAAGAGAGACCAACTCGGCTCATTGGTCTCAACCCTTCGGTGGATCCGAGTATCTGAGGGTAGACCCGTCACATACCCTTTTTTTCTGGGGCAGGGTTGCTGTATTAGTAACCAACGCAATGTATGATACACGTGGAAATTGACCTTGAATTTGACATGGCATATTTATGGCAGTTTGCCGATTATATAAGTCTTCAAACTTAGATATTGATACGCCTCCAGAAAAGTGGCCCATCATTGATGGACCCCCCAAGACTTCAGGAGACAAAACTCTCCTTAAGATGGACATGAATACCCCTCATATCCCCTCATGGTTTCTCGAGTTCTCCAGATAGAGCCATCTCTTTCCATGCTTGTTGAGGGTACATCAATTCTGCACCGTGACACAGATCCACTGCGCCCACCGCCGTGCCGTGCTTGTCCCGCACGTCCCAGTTTTGTGGTGCCGCCCGGGGGCGTTCCACCGCCAAACCTCGTGCGCGGGGATGCGCAAAGCGTGCCCATGCGCTGCTCACGGATCACGCCAGTGCAGGCTGAGCCTCTTCAGTTCGAAGCACCAGTGGAGAACTAACGGGGCGCCGGGTGCCCTCCCAAGATTATGGTAGACTGTTGATCAATATCCCCGCATATTGGAGATGTAAAGCCACTCTTGTAGGCTTGGGGGGACTTAGTCAGCAGCAATCTTAATTAGGGTTTTGTCTATAGTTTTCTGGCGCAGGATCTTCCAAGATGGTTTATAGAGAATGTTTGGTCATTTTTCTGGTGTACTGTCCACTGATCAACTAGATTTGGGGGGATACCCCACCCCAAGTGCGGAATGTTCCATTGCATCCAGGCACAAGTCCTGCGGTAAGGAAGGAGTTTGATAGGTTGGGCACCCTCCATGATTCTAGAAAATGCATTGTGTCTGCGCTGCGGGTTCCAAATCTGCGCCGCACTGATACCGATACACCGATATCCCCGGGTGGGGGATATCGATATCACCCCAGCCACTGGATATTGGAAGATCGGCGGCGGACGGAAATGGATGATATAATAATTGTACAATTACTGATTACTGTACGTATACATACAATGTGCAATGGTACGTGCTCATTGTTCCAGGATGTTTACAGTATGTGTTTGTAGCAGGACTCACAAGGGGCCCTTGACAAGGGGTGCTCAATATATAGGAGTCCCTTTACATCCAAGAGCTTTCTGATGCAATAGACACCTCTTTCAGAAAGCATTTTCGAAGAAAGAACCGAACTTGAGGGTGTTTAGGTCACTTGACCGTACTTCTCCCTTAAGTATCCGTCCAACGAAGGTCACGTTGATACAACAAAGGTACTGACAGTGTCATGAATCTGCCTGACCTGGAGCATGTTGGACCACTGAGTTGGATGGATTTTTACCCGGACCCGTTATTTTTCCCATTCAAAAGACCCACAGAAGTCACTTTGAAGGTCCTGGTGGTCGACCATTTTGGCGCCATTTCACCGCACCCCATGGCGTGGGAGCACCGGATCGTTTGTGCAGGCGGGGCAAGCCATCGTCGAGCGACTCTTAATGTGTCCCTTGGAGGAGATATACTAGTCCCAGGTGAGTTGGGAGTATTCGAACGCACACCCCGCAATCCGTTGGACTATCTCATTTGCCGAAAGCCTACTTTTGGCGGAGACCACAGGAGATGATAGAATTGGCCACAAGGACCTAACTCATGGGCTGAAAGAGCTTTGCTGATGCCAGCATATATGCCGGGCGTTGCTCGTTCATGGCTAGGGACTATACATTTTGTTTTTTGACTGACATTCAGCACATAGTCCTATCTCATCGGCTGAAAGCTATCATTGACGGCTACGGTACGCCCACGGTGTAGCACATGAGATGGGTTGCAATTTTTATGTGCCAGCAGGATCTCATTTGCCCGCTCTTTTTGTACCCTATTTCGTTACCTATCTCATCTGTCCATCTTGTTTTTTTGGAGCTGCCGTAAAGTCCTAACTCACTTCTGGGTAGTATATACTGGAAGAAAGCAGCAGACTTTGCCCCTTGAAAAGGTCCATGCCTTGCCGTCTCCACGTGTGCTTCGACCTCACACGAGGCAACTTCGACCAGACGGCCCAAGCTGTACAGATTGCTGGGGATTCGAGTGAAGAGGAGACCCATGTGGCCCGTGTCCTGTACGCAAGGATGCAGGGACTTCGGACTCCTGCATCCACTTGAGCCTTATTTTGTGGTCTTGTTCGGACGGACTGTGAAGGAAGGTGGAAGTGTTGCTGTTGGAGGATGCTGAGAACAATAGGAGACAGCTTTGACAGCAGCTGGAGAGCACCAAGTGTTGGCGACAATGTGAGTGTTCCTTGGACCTCCATTGAAGAGTGCATCCATTGTAATTACCAAAAACGTATACAGTATGTATTATATGTATTGTATAGTTATAAAATATCGGTGCCTATAGTGCTTAGGGCAGGTTTGGTGTAGGCTAATCATTCAGCACATGGTCTTTGCACAAGTTAAATGGTTACATTTTGGCTCAAGGCTAGCTTTAGCCAAAATAGCTTTGTGGAGTGAAACTCTAAGAGAGAACCTCTCTGTAACTATCTATAGTTATATACACACAATATATAGTTATATATATATATATACTTGGCGTTGCTTTCGGACATTTATTATTTCTTTTTCTCGCACGTCGCAGCGACTTGTGGTTTGGGTTCTCGCAGCTGTTCTTGGCCTGCGCAAAGGCCAACCCAGATAAGAGAATAAAGCCAACCAGGAGAGGAAAGCCAGAGAAAGACAAAAACTATTCAATGTTGTACTATTCTATCTATGGGTCTACCCAAGCCCAGAATTAAAGGAAGCATGTTGCATCATACTTGAGTTGAATGGCCAGCATCAAGGGTAGGAGCCTCATTCATCCGAAGGAGCTTGCTGTAGCTCCCGCGTGCCTGCTTGATAGCCTCGTACATCGTGGCTTTCCGGAGAGGTGACGCACTGCAGCAGATCGCAGTGGGCGCTGCCGAACCTCAACAGCAAGTGCCAGATCGCAGTGGGCGCTACTGGACCTCAACACACAACACACAACCACAATCAACACCGCAACAAACAACCATAACCACAATCACAAACATACAGCCACAAACACACAACCACAACACTCAAACACAACTCAACTATAACAATATAATTACCTGTATGTGTGTGGCGTTTTGCGTGGCAGGTGGTCACAGGGTATAGCACTTTTGGATGCCAACTGTAGACCCTGGCAACACCCCGCCGCGAAGTCCCCAACGCTAAAACAACAATCCCAAACCTGGGGACCCACAAGCAAAATCGAAAAACCACAAAACAAAACTCACGACCAATGGCAACATGCTCCTCACCATTGAAATGTCATGGTGGGGATCACTCGAGTAAAGTAGTTGGTTGTGTATTGTGTCTTGTTTGTTTGTTTGTGGTTATGTTGTGTGGTTGTGTGTTGAGGTCCGGTAGTGCCCTCTGCGATCTGGCGCTTGCGGTTGACTTGCGGTAACCGATCTGGCACTTGCTGTTGAGGTCTGGTCGTGCCCACTGCGATCTGGAACTTAACGGTTGAGGTCCGCTTGCTGTTGAGGTCCGGTATGATGCCCACTGCGATCTGGCACTTACTGTTGAGGTCCTGTATAGTGCCCACTGCGATCTTACGCTTGCGGTTGAGGTCTGGCAGTGCCCGCTGCGATCTGCCTTTTGCGGTTAAGGTCCGGTATACGTGCCCACTGCGATTTGGCACTGGCTGTTGACGTCCGGTAGATCTGGCGCTTGCGGTTGAGGTCCAGCAGTGCCCACTGTGATCTGCGCTTGCTGTCACTTGCTAGCGAGGAGAGGAGAAGGCGAAGGAGAACTTAAGGAGGACAAGGAAAAGGAAAAGGACGAGAAGAGCTCTGGAGTTGGCTTGACAGGCCGTGGTTGGCTAACACTTTTCGGGAGTGGGAAAAACGCCAAGTATATATATACATACATATACACTAAAGCTCATTAATGTAGTTATATATTTTGGCTAGTGTGAGAGCACCAAGGCCCAATTTCTTGCTTGATGTTCGCTTTTCGGACGCAGCTCATCCTTCTCCTGCAAATTGGCAAAAAACTTGTGTGATCTTTCGCGACAGCGCGCGGCGTCTCGCTAGTGCAGGAGGTGGATGTGAAGCAGGCGTGGGAAGCCTATGTGGAGTCCGAAGAGGCGCACCGGCACCGCTTTTCATCGGTACCTGGGGACGCGATCGAACCAGCCGCGGGTCCGGCTTCGGGTGCCGGAGCCGTGAAACAAAATGAATGAGTCTCTTGGCCATTGTCAATGCTCATAGTTGTGATTTTTGTGCCGATGTTCCCTTCTCGGATGTTTAACACGTACGTTAAATCCACATTTGTTTGCAGGTTTGATTTCAAGACGCACATCATGCTCTAAACATTTTTTGGCAGCGGCATGCTGTTCCATCAGGTCAATCCAGTTTTGTCAGTTTTCCCTTGAACAACACCCAGGTTTTGGTACTACAAGGTAGCAGCAAACGCTTATTATTCCACCGATTCAGGAATATCTCAAGACCTTGAATCCCCCAAGTGTCTCTCAGGACTCGGGGCCTTGACCTCATTGACCCGTGTTTTTGCATCATCAACTCCAGCAAAAGGAGATGGTCGACCTGTAGGGTTGCATCCATGGCTGGCGGTTTGACCGCCCGCGGCGGGTTGGCCGCGGCGGGCTGGCCGTGAGGACCGCTGGCGGGAGCGCCTCACGGAGCTTTGGCAGCTCCGTGGTGCGGCGGCACCGCGGCGTCATGCAGGGGTGCAAGAGCTCAAGGAGAGGTTTGGAGGGTGCGAGTATCCAAGAGCTTGATGTTGATGAGGAATTTGGGTGATGTTGATGGGAATCTGCAGATGCTTGATGCTTGCGGATGCGAATGCTGCTGCTTCAACGATCTTCAACTCATAGAATCTCCTATGTATAGACTGTTGAACTTCCAACACTCAGAAGTTTTCTGGTGGACAACATCCAGTGCCAGGTTTTCATGAACCTCATCTTCCGCAAAGGTCCCCAATCCACGTGACCCTCCAGGAGTGGCTCAACAGTGACCGGGAGGGTTGCATCCGACGCATGGCGCTGATCTTGGAGTTGCCCGTCCCTTGGCGCACGGCGTTGGGGCGGAACGCACTCTCCAGAGGGTATAGTAGATTATAGTAGCTATTGCTTTTTCCCAATGGCTGCAGTGAACATGACACACCTTGAGGTAGGGTTGATAAACAACATCTACGAATGACACAATGACAAACTAATTTACCACGACCCAAAATACTTTTGGCCAGGTTCCAACGTGATGCAAGATCACATGTCCATCAGTCCTTGGTCTATGTTCTTCTTTTTCATCTATTCCTCATCATGTCTCCATGTTCACTGCGGTGTTAGTTATGACTCACGGCTTTGCCCACATCATTCGGTTGGCCAGGTCTGGTGCGAGGTTCGTTTGGGGAAGCTCCTTGATGAGCTAGCCACGCAGAAGGGGACCCCTGCCCACAAGGCCAGGCTGAAAACACGGAGCTGGCAGCCTCACATGACGCCCGCGGGGAGTGGCTTTCACAGATTGGGGGAGTTGGAGGATCAGAGGAAGTGATATAGGAACAGGTTCTGCGAGATGACAAGGACAAGATAGGACAAGGTTCTGTTTGTTCTTGTTCTTCACAGGTTCCCTCGGAAGTGACAAGGACACGTCTTTTGTCTTCGGATGAGAAGGATGAGAAGGAGCGCTTCTGCGATCGGTGCTCCTTCCCGGACTCGCTCGGTCTCCCGCGCCGCGCCCACCCCTTGGTCCTACGGTCCGACCGCCGGCCATCGGACGACCAAGTCGATTTGATGGACAGCACATGAGAGCCACTGGTACTCGTTGGTATGAGGTTCCTCGTCTTGAATACAGGACGTGCTATTTTGGCACCCGGGGGTAATGGAATTAATAGGCGGTATTCTCGGTATTCTGTTTGTTTTTGGGGTCGTCATCTGTAAGCGTCCGGTGAAAGATGCAACCTCCCAATTGCTGGAAACCATCAAACGTGCAGCGGCTTGGCTTTCCCCACTACATATGAAACGGCTCCTTTGCCCGTTGATGTCTCCTATTTTCAACGTTTCTTCAACTCACAAATTGAGGGGGGTGTAATCCACAGCGTTCGGTCAAGGAAATGGAATCCACAGCCTCCTGCCCTGCAAGCTCACACAACATGTCCACCGAAGAAAACATCGAAAACACTTGTTCAGGAAACAGGAAGTCTGTTCAATCCCAAACAGTCCGGGCATGTTTCGGGCAGGCATCAACCAGCTCAAATGCAACACAGGGCCCCTGTGTTGAGTGCCACTGGCGACAACAACTTCGATTGGTGGCGAAAAGCATCTGGGACTGGACTTCGGGCAGGGGTTGCACAGGGTTTTGCATGTGCAACATGGGAGGGATGGAAGGGGTCAAGGCACAAGTGAGATTGCAGGGAAGCCTTTAGCCAACATTTCCGAGTACAGAGGGTAGGGACCCTTTCTGGACCCTTTGGAAGTCTCTGACAGTTGGTTTCTAAAGTAAAACTTGGTTCATCCCCAAGTCAGCCAAATTCTGTGGATGTTTGGTTTCAATCATCACTTGGTCAAAAGCTGAACAGCGACCTATCTCTATTCCATTCTATTCCTCTATCATCCTTTATACACAGTTTTTTCATGTTTGTTTCTCCGTGCTTTCCCAAGGATCCAGCGAACCCGACGTTTAAAGCATGTCGAATCGTCCAAAGACCGGTGAACGGCACCATCTCAGAACCACCGAGCGCTCAAACAATCGAGTGATGCACCTCTGACAGGTCACCTGAAGATGCCCCAATGTCAGCCTGAATTTGAGCCAGAGAATCGTGACCCGTGCGTAAAATGTCTGCACTTCTCCCAAATCACCCCTGCCGTGGGGTCACAAAACCATCTCTCCTTCTTAACCATCTCCAACGCCAAGAGCTTCAGGCCCTCGTGATCAAGAGCTTTACTTGGAGATTTGCCAAGCCCACCGAAGGGCAGATCCGGAGGCGACCGCGTCTCCCCGCGTGGACTCGGTCCGTCCCAAGCGGCGCGTGCAAGCGGGCCACTCGAAAGACGGTGAGTGCTGTAGGGACCAGATATACAAGAAGGATCGACCTCCAGCAATACACCTTCAGGAAGGTGAGGGTAAGATGGATGTTCCTTTTGCTAAACCAGTTTAAGCCAGCAGCCAGCATGTCCTTTGAAGTAGGTACAACAAAGCGCGTCCAAGGACTTTCCAAGCCTTATTCAAGCACACCATGACCAGTTCCTCATGGGTTTGGTGAGGTGCACTATTCTCTAGATGTCACTGATGTCACTATAGTAACTTAGTACCAAGGATTCTGTACCTTGTTTGTCCTTGTTTCTACTCCAGGTTGCTATTCCCGTTGAACACGCGGCATGTCCTTTTAGCTTCTTCCAGGCACCCCTTCCAGGTCCACTCCGAGAACCCCTGGCTCAACTCGGTTTGTCAGGTGGTGGGCATCTGGCGTAAGCCCTTGCGTGATCTGCTGGATGTGGCCCACATGACGGACCGCATGGCTCCACGGATGCTGCTGCCTCCCGGACAGCGTGGACAGCGTGGAGTCGGGGAGTCGGGTCACATGGGGTTCCGCCCTTGGGCAGAATGAGAAGCCTAGCGTTCATCCAGAAAAGGGACCACTTCCAACCTGAGTGGTGAAAGAAGCTGATTCTTGGCACTTCATGTTGTATTTTTTTCCACATGTCTTTCTAAAAAAACATAAAAAGTCCATTTCGATCCATTTCGATCCACTTCAAATTCTTTCACTTCATCGTGTCACCGCTTCACGACCGAGGTCGCCCAAAGCTTCGGCGACCAGCGGCGTGCCGCCGAGCACCGATGAGGCGTGCGTGTTCGGGGGCGGGAGGGCGACACGGAAAGAGGGGATGGCTCTGGATGAAAAGAGGATTGGATGTGGTAGGCCCTGGTGGCTTTGGATGTGTGCTTTTCGTACATCTTGCTGAAGCTCAGACGTCTCTCAATTCAGAGACCTGAAAACCATTTGTGCGTTTCTAACGGACTCTGAACACACAACAGGAACATGTTGAGGTTTTCTGGCTTTTATTTCCCATGTTGTGTTGAAGAGGTTGACTATACTAGTTACTAGTATAGGTTTCTTGTACGCCTTGTGTGATTTTGCATGTTCTTGTTCCGGTAATGGTCAAAGCAGTTGGCTTCTTCCCCTGCCAGTCGCAACATGACATCCTGATGAGCTTGTCCTATAGATGCCTCATCAGTTGATTGATAAGAGTTGAAGTTATTTTGGGGTCCGGCTTTATCCGTTATTGATGGCTTTGTGAGTGCAACCGAGCAAAACAGGGAGAGGGTGTGAGGACCTGACGTAGATCATTCCATGAAGGGGAAGGACATGAGGCCCACACGAGAAAACACCTGGCCCCCGGCAAGGGATGGCCACCCGATGATATTGGAGAGCAGAACACATGTTGTTCATAACTTTCTTTACTTTCAACTAGCCAGAACCCAGAGAATCGGCTCCAGTCTGGGACAGCTTTTTGTCCAACCAAGCTCGAGCTTGACAGTAGGAGGACATCCCAGCGCCAGTATAGTGTCTCAGCTTGCTTAGGCTTAGGTGGCATATATAGGAATATAGGTAGATGATGATCGCATTGATTTGCCTGATGATTTTGGAGACGGATCCCTAATCTGCAGTGCGCTTTTGAGCCTTTCAGGCTGCAAAGTTTGCGGTACATTTGAAGCTAGCCTCTTGGCAGTGCTTTCAAGTCTAGCATTCAAAACATCAGACAAGCCTACATGATTTGGGCCCATGGGTACAACACAAGTCACAAGTCAGTTTGTTAGTTCTGAATTCCCCTTTGGGGGCAAATTATCCACCCACTCGAACTTGGAATGTCAGGAAGCCATCCTTACTTCTGGTCGATGCGCATCCAGATGCATCCAGTGCCAGTACTCACATCTATGCAGTGAGGTCCATAGGCTTTTGGTATCTATCCGGTACCCCGGGCTTCCATAATTGTTACTCAAGATGTACTGCAGGGTCTTTGTCGATTTTTCTGCTGAACTCAGGGCACACTTACACTCACTCTAACTCACTCTCTCACTCTCACTTGGACTCCAGTCAAGCCTACCTCCGTCCACCATAATCCACCATAGCCCCAGCGGGAACTCCCGATCGAGCGCGTCCGGTCTTGTTTCACCCAGGAACTACTGCACTTGCGCCCGGAGAAGACTCAAGCAGACTGGGCGAGAGGAAAAGAGCCTGGTGGACTTGGGACGATGGCGTTCCGCCAATGTTTGACCGATTTGGTGGCAAGGAGCGTTCCGTCGACATCAAACACCCTCCAAACATGGATCGAGTTCTAAGAGCTTGAAGTGATATTGGTTGAATATGCAAGGGCTTTACATAGACACAGATACTAGATGTGACTTGTGCGATGTTGATACATTTTGGGCTTGAGCAGTTAGCAATGTGATTGGAAACCAAGGGGGGTCCCAAGCGTGATTGTCACGCCTGAATGCTGGATTCTATAGGAGTCGGAGTCGATCAAGCTTTCTCTCCGGATCCATCAAAGGGCCTCCCCAGCCAGCAGCACCCTCCGCGTGATCTCTTTCGGAACCATTGGTCCATATACGTGTTTTCGGACCATTTTACGGACAAACAAACCCATTCGGTTCACATTTTCGGAACGCAATCGGTGACCAATTTTCAGGGACAACCAGGCTTGCGGGTTCTTTGGGGGTTTTGGCCTTGGAAGATCCTTTCTCTTCACAAAAAGGTGGACCATCCACTTCCATGTTACACTCCCTGGAACCAACACGCAAGTGCTTTGGTAGCATGGCCCCGAAAGGACCGAACGACCAAACCTGATGGTTTTCCACTTCGATCAGTTTCAGGGAAAGTCCCAGCGTCGTTTCGACTCGGCTCCGGGCTACGGCCCAGGTGGTCAAGCGTCAGTACGTGGCCTCGGTGGAGCGCAGCTGGTATCAGGAGCCGTCGGAGCTGGGAGGTTGTGTCAGGCGTGCGTCCGGAAGCAGGTGCACTGGATGGATCTTGCATCTGAACAGGAAGATCTGGAAGATGATTATTGCTGTTCAATGAATTTGGTCATTCAATGCTTGCGGGTGGAGAAGCATGTTCCGCATTGCCCAGCAATGCGCGAACGGTCAGAAACATACCGCTTGTTGGGTCAGATGTCCTCAGTATTCAATCACAATTTTGCACCCTTTGTGCTGCTGGTACACACTTGGCTTAAATGTGGAGAGGAAGCCCAGGCGTGACTCGAGAAGCATGGGACCCATTTGTATTTCAACAAGACTGCCCATTGTATTTGTATTTGTATATACTTGAAGACGCCGGTGTCATACGTAGCCATACCACGTTCATGCCGTGCACCCAGTGCGGAATCGCAGGAGATCGTGCGGATGGCAGGCGTGGCTTTTTCGGAGCGCGGGCGTGCGATCGGCTGTTCCTCGCGGCTTTCTTCGCGATGGGGTTCGGTGGTTAGGTTGGTTTCCAGGAGAAGATTCGGAGCCTGTAGGGCGGATTAAGGGGTCGGTTCACGATCAACTGAAAGGAAAGTAGATTCTTTTGACGAGTCCCATCGAAATGCTATCCAAAAGCCCACTTTATCCAACTGTCCCAGTAACCAAAGTCTTCCCATTTTCGAGTACTTTGGTCCGATTCCCTCGGACCCGTCGAAGAGAGCCGTGCAACCGGTTGAGGTAGCTGAGGGACGTGTTCCCATGTGGATAGCACATCTACAAGTTGTTCTGAGGGTTCTCCGCTACTTACTTTAGGTGAGGGAACCAAAGTCATTGCCAGTGGAGCATAATATGGAGCAATAGCAGGTTTTTTTGTTCAACACATATTTGTAGAATCAACAATGAACTTCAAAAGCCATCCACTCTACGCAGCATGAGATCCTTCCTTTGGTAGAGATGATCGCCATCAAACACCTTAAGCTTCATGGGTGCAGCTGGTCCACTACTCCATCATGGGCAAGTCCCATCAAGTGACAGCAAAGATTTGCATCACAAGGTGGAAGAATCTTCCTTATGATGTCATCATATTCTGTTGCGTTCTGTTGGAAGCCATCAGCCTTCGGACTCTCAGAGGATGTCACACCTGATGTCTTCGATCATTGACTGGTCTTGCATAGACATAGGAAGAATAATCTTGTAAATGCAATATATTGATAATATATTGATAATATCAGGAATTCATCAATTCCAGTGCATTTTCACACACACACACAGTGTTTTCTTCCCACTCCGTCGGAACGGACAACGAGTGGCCACCGCCGAAGCGGCTTCGGGGGATCACGCCGCACACCGCACGGTGGCAGGCTCAAGATATCCCTAGTAGCGTCCGGCCCCGTTGGTAGCTTCTTGTTCCTAGTAGTAAGGCCAGGAGCCCCGTTCGTAGCGTCTGATCGCTCCTAGTAGAGTTTCAGGAGAGAGACAAGGCAGAGGCACGTCACATATCAAGTACACAGTCAGGAGTGGCAGGTTTTCAGATGGAGGCACGGTGTGTGTTTTTGTGTGAAAAGCGATGATAGGAGGGTGGTTCGATCCGAGATAACACAAATTAGGCAGACTCTGAAGACGTTCATCTTCCACCACACGTTCCGAAGACGTTCCGGAAGGTTTGGTCGTCTTTGGTTAGGAGGTTTTCACAGTGCTATTTGTTCAGCCGCTATTGGTGCTACCTGAGCCTCTGAGAAGGCGCTTAAAGACCGTGAGAGCCTCCGAAATGGCGCCCGGGTGCTGGTCCAGCGCCGTTGGCGCCCCGATGGTCGCCTGGACGTCGGGACTCCCATGGCGGGCGAAGGAGGAATTGCAGCTGGTCCGGAGCTGGGTCAAAAAAAGTGGGTTGGCTAATTACATGTAATTAATGGTCCCACTGCAATGGCCACTGGCTGGGTGAAGGGGCCCTTTTCCTGAAGCTGCCAGGGAGTGAATCACAACATCGCAAGGTCTCATCCGTTAGTTGTTGAAGTGTGAGGTTGGATGTGCACTGAAAGGGCTGGGTTTTGCACCGAAAGGGCTGGGTTCTGCACCCTACTATTCACCAGACCCTCGGCCCTTGAGTGAGTGCAGGCGGCGACCTTTGTTTGACCAGAAAGCAGACTCTTTGACAGGACTCCAAAAGAAATGGAATTGAATTGTCTACTGTTGGCAGAGGAAACTTTGTTTCTGGATCATGCATGATCATGTTGGGCAAAGGGTCAATTCCCGACGCTTATTTACATAGTTGGTCTATCGCTGAGGCCGGTGGCAAAGTACACCTCGTCAGGGGCTCAGAGAGTCAACTGTAAAACGGTGCAACGTCATTTTTTGGTATTATATATTTCCCGAAGCTTTTGATATTTTTTCATTTCATAAGAGTGCGACTTCAGCGTTTTTCCGGGGCATCCCCGAGATTCAGAACCAAGATACCATCCTGTCCTCATGAGAATTTGAGGTCCAGGTCTTTTACCAACGGCCGAACAATTACTGTATAATACTGTATATATATGAATGAAATTACTATAGAACTATTACTTGTTGTATTTCTATCATTTGCATGTTCCAAGAAGGCCTTCTAATTCAGCTGATGTGCGGATGTGAGCTTGTAGTTTCTACAGTCCTTTGCGTTGTTCCATGATGTTCCACAATCTGGTTCAACAGAAAGTAGATATCTCACGCTTTGCAGGTGTTGGTATGAACTCAGGGGTCCAACTGATCTTTGAGGAGCAAAGGCAGCGATCTTGCAAAGGCCCCATCCCCTGCAGACCCTGTCATCGACATAGTATGATAGTTGGGATTTGAATGGATTTGAAGGGTTCCCACATGCTTGGTAACAGTAGCAGTTTCATTTCCATTCATGACCGGTCTGGTTTTTGGATTTGATTTTTCGAGTTTATCACCAGCCTGCCAAGGTTCCAGATGCCAGGTGCCTGCGGATTGGAACCTGAAAACGTCAACGGATGAACCCGTGCAATTCACTCCGTAATGGAATCGAAGAACCATTAAGGCCTCTGACCTGCGATACTATGGGACTGGAAAGTACGGCCAACCACCGTAATACTTATGCTGATGTATGAAGTATCATAATGCGTATTGATAATAATGATACTGTGGAACTTGGCAGGAGCCCCGAAAAGGCCTGTGAACGTTCGAACACCTACGTATCAATACGTCTCCTGTTGTCTCGACCCAACTCACCAAACTGATTTGGTAGGATCGTCCACCTATGAAGATACTTTGAAGGACAGAAAAGTTATTACCACTCGCGGTTGTTTGCTGAGATTTCGCATTGATGCTAACTTTGCTCCTTGTGTTCTTTCCATGTCGCCATTCTTCAAGCGTTTGTTGATGGTTTGGGCTTGTGGGCATATTGAAACACGTCCCCGAGGTTCCCCCAAAACCAGCTGCTTTGACCACTCCCGAGATCGTTAGTCTGCCATGCAGAGCCGGGTGGTGTCTGCTTGCAGGTTGGCCTCCAGGCAATTCCTTCCAATTGCAGAACATGGGCATGCCACAGCCTGTGCTGCCGCCGTCTCTGCCGCAGCCCCTGCTTCAGCCACTGGGGACAGAAATGCCAGCCTTTGCAGGAGCAACTCAGGCTTCAAAGATCTCCTTGTGGATCATTTGGTCAGGGTATGCGATTCATGTATATATATTATATATACTATATACATCAATCAATAGTTTTATGGTATACGCATTGGTTGACGAAGCCTTGGCCCAATCAGCGGACAAATGACAAACGACTTGGGAGAAGCCAACGGCTGGATCCAGGAACTTGCAAGCCACGAGCATTCAAATCCACGCTGTGCTTTGGCCATACCACATCTATCGCAGGCCGTTTCAACACCACTTCGGTTCAACCCCCTCCGGCGACATAACCTCTCTATCAACGACCATCTATTAATATAACAAGCAGCAACACATATCATAACCCGCATATGGATTGGTTCCAAACACCCATATCATGAGGGTCCACATCACCCCCCCTCTGTTGGTGTCTGTGTGTGGGGGGTGCTGCGCAGAGGACGGCCGCTTCCACAAGCTCTAGATCTCGACAGCCTCCCCTTTCTGCAGCGGCCCCGTGGACCTGGCGCGGAAGGGCGCGCGGAGGGCACGCGCGAGGGCAGGGCGCTCTGGCATCGTCTTCGTTCACATCTCTAAGCATACTGGAGGGCTTGGGTGGCTCCAGCCATAGGGCTGAGTGGTCGTTGTGGGAAGTTTCGGCAGAACCCGCAGTATGGCAGGTCGCTTGGAGAAAAGATGGGTTGTTCTGATAGATTTCAATCCCCGGTGCCACCCACAGCCTTCTACCGAGCGACTGGCGTTTGAGTAGAGGGGCAAGCTGTACAAGTACCGGAAACTTTGCCATGGACTTTCCAACACTTACTCACAGCTTCAATCTTCAGTAACTCTCCAAACAGCGAACCTGAAAGTGACACCTGAGCCTCAGGCCCTGAGATTGACTTTCATGACGTCCTCCAAGGTGATTTTTCTGTGCCTAAATGAACCGCTTAAATATCATATCAAAAGCAGTGGTTGTGTGGGAATATCGTTGAAATCCATCTTAGAAGGGAAGGGGGAGATCTTTTGCAACCTATGTACAGTGTAGACTTGGCAATTGTTTGCGAAAGTCACGAAAACCATCCTACATCCTCTGACTCACTAAAATGGAAGTGGAAAACCCTCGGAAGTCTACTTTCCATTATTCCATGTCAGTGAGTCGGAGTGTATACAATAAACTACCAGCGAAACCATATATCATAAGCAAGTGAAGAACGGACCCGAACAGAAACACCATCACAACCCCCATGAATTGATCACCGAAATCACCACGACCGGCCGTTGCAGGCGGGGAGGCCTCAGCCTTTGCCCGGAGCCTGAGAGCGTCCCGGAGCGTCCCGGAGCGTCGTGAGCGTCTCGGGTGGAGCGTCGCCCGAGGAGAATCCCATCGAGAAGGCTGAGAAGGCAGAAGATGAGGCGAGATCTGGGTTGGGTTGGTTGGAGTCTGAAGGTGATGGTGAGATGGAGTTGCATGAAGATTGTGGTGCAGTTGGTATATATATTGTGATTCGAGTATCAATGGAATGTGCTGGAAGATGCAAGAGTCTTTGGCATGGGTCGGGTGTGGACGCCAAGAATGTATGATGAGGGATATTGTTGACAAGGACGCTCTGACTAGTTTGGTCACATTTAGTCCAAATCTCCAACACATGATGCCTGAGCGAGTTTGTGTGGGCTGGACAACTTCTGAGCAGCCACGGGTTATTCTTTTGTGGCTACATGATGTGCAGGATACAACCTCTTGCAATCAGCTTAAATACTGCGTACCAGCAGCTGACTCCAAAGGTCACTTGCATCACATAGTTGTCCTCAAGATGCCTCTTTTCCCACGGATATGTTTCATCCCTAAAAAAGCACATCAGGACATCTGCACTGGGTTTCCCGTCGTTCATCAGGACAAAAAGCCCATCATTCCTGGTCCAAGATCGCATATGGAATTGTTGGACGTCTACATGTTGTCCTCTGAACAAAGCGTGGACCGTGGATGTCCCGCCGGCCTTTGTCCCTGAACAAAGCAGGGTGTGGAATGCGTCCATGTGTTCGGTGCTTGAGATCAGACCCCTCATGACCCTGGCTTGGCCAAGAGCCGAGCCCTTTCCATTGCTCTAAATGTTGGGTGTTCCCCAAGTGGAAAGGATATGGCTATGGCATGCTATGGCTACTTCTGGACATGGCTTGGAGTTTGCTCGATCATCTCAATCACATGATATATAAGCAACAGCATGGCCGGGAGAGAATGTTGTTCAAACAATTAACGGGTGAATCAAACAGCAGCCGCTATGCCTCACTACACTAACCTCAGTGCAGGGTTGTGACCGGGTTTACCATTGTTTGACTAAGATGTACGATCCCAAGTCCATCCAGCGACTTTGATGAGCATTTGAGCACACGCACTGCGAGCACTTGACCCAAGCATGGAAGTTGTTGCTGTGTCTGGTGCAACCATTGCCAAGCTTGATGAGGATGAGTTGCGTTGTATGGTGGAACGTGGCTGCACCATAAGAGACCTGAAGCGGATCATTGCTGATGGGGTTGGCCACTCAAACTTTCGGCAAAGACTCTTCACCGAAAGTGGCGAGTTGCAGGATGATATGCCTTTGGCGCCATGGCCAAGTGTGCGGTTGGTCCTCGACTTCAACGTTCCTGATGAGACGATGGAGGAGCTGCTTCGCAATTGCAACAAGAAAGGTTTAGCCGAACTTGACACGCTGCTTCAAGAACGTCAGGATCCAAACAACAGAGGCACACATGGCAAGTGTGCACCAAGGCAAGCTGCACCTGTTGAAGGCAACTCAGAAGTTGTCCAAGCTGACAAACATGCAGGACCTGAAGATGGAGCAACAGCTTTGTTTTCCGTAGCCATTTTGGCTCAAGCCATTTTGGCTCAAGGAAAGCCAAGAGCGGCTCTCATAAACAAAACTCTTGAGAAACAGACGATCGGATTTAGACGTGTCGGGCTGGGCCCGTTCTGCATCCGTGCTCGTGCACATTGTGCAGTTTGCCATGGCAAGCGAGCTGGCAGTGTTGGACGATCGGGTGCAGAGGCTTTCGGACGAGATCCGAGAGAAGCGGTTGACCAGGCTAGCAGCCGAGGACGAGGGGACAAAGATCCTGCAAGCTGCGGACAACTTACAGCTAGCAGGCGAAGAGCGTGCACATCGACGTGCTTTGGTTCAGACGGTGAATGCTTTGTTGGATGCCGTGGAGCTTTCGAATCCCATCGGAACCTCAGGACCATCAATGATGGAGCTGGCAAATGCCCGGATCCTGTTCCGTGCCTTGCCTTGGGTGCTCCTGGCAGCCACCTTCGGAGTCGCTTTTTGCCTCGGCTGCCTGAAGCGGGGCGATCATACTGTGCAATCGGTGACAGGAATGGCGGGCCTCTTGCCGACAGCCAATATCACTGATTACAGCTTCACACGAGGTACAGCCGTCATGATGAAGGACTTCATGGACCACACGGGAGGTGCCGCCTTTACTGCTGGCATCATGGTTGACTTTCACGTTGCAAGGGCCACGGAACATGCAGTTCCCACAAAGAGCCCAAAAAAGAAATCTCAAGAGCCAAGAGCCGATATAAAAATGAAATTCAAGAGCCACACGGCCTACATGAATGGATCAATTCATTGCATTTGCTCTTTGCCCTGCTTGCTTTGCTTCCAACCCCCGGAAGGTTTTGGGGATGTCTTTTTAGGGGCTTCCCTCAAATTCAATTGGTTCCTGCAGGGACTGTGGAGGTGTTTTCGAGACACCTTTCACTCCTTTTACCTTGGCCCTTCGGGCCCCCAAGGGTGCGTCGTCAGCAGCGCCATGGTTTCGCTCTGCACGACTGGCAACAGTGCCGCAGCTCCACGTCTCTTCGCTTGGCTCAGCGGCGAGAAGGACGTGGATTGGGATTTGAAAACGTGTTTGTTGCATGTTTTGAAAGCTTCGGTTGTCTTGTTTGGTTTTGGGTCCAATCGTCGAAACGACAGTAAGACCTTTGGGAAAACGAAGCCTAAAGTTAGGAAGAGGAAGCCTGGGCCTGTCAAGCACACTCGTAAGGACTCTAGACTGTTCTCTCCACGTTTTCCTTGTCGGTTTGTCGGTCGGTCGCGCGTTGCTCGGCCACGGCTTCGGTGGCGACGCAGAGCTGTGAAACTCAGAGCTGAGAGGTTGAAATGGTGGATTGCTGGCAAGTCTCGATATAAGCAATGTACTATCCCCACTGTTCAGCCTGCGGTTCCTAAACGAAAGGTATGGTTTGGCTGTGACCTTGGCTGGTTTCAACGAAGTGCCTTGACTTGTTTGGACTGGTTCTGCACTCTTGATTTTGACCCCTACGTTGGAGTCAGGGTTGGGGAAGCTGCCCACCCCGGGCCTTTTGATCGCCACGCTCACAGGCGTCGCAAAGGAAAGCGTGCGAATCCTGCTAGCAATGGAATCAGTGCTGATTTGATTCAACAGGTGGTTCAACTTGTGGTTGAAGCTTTGGTAAAGAATGGTTTTTCTTCCTCGTTTGCGCAGACCAAGGCTACTGAGAAGAAAAGAACCGTTAAGGCTAAACAGCCAAAGCCGCCGCCCACTGATAGGAAAGTTGGAAATTCCACTGATGGAGTGACAATGAATAGTAGTCACCATCCCGGGCTTGACCGTAGGAAACAACAGCCTACCAAACCCAAAACTTGGGCCACCGTGGCTGCTAATCCTGCCAAGGAGGGTAACCACCCTCGTTTGCTTCCGTCAGTTTGGCCACATAAGGCCGTTCGGGAGGTTCATGATGTTAGGTGTTCCCTTGAAGAGGGTAAGTGGCCGACTGGAGCCGTGACTTGGTGCCGCTCTACTCAAGAAGTGGAGCAGCTCAGAGCTCTAGCCACTTTACATGAGTTGGATGGCTCCTTTGCTCTTGGAATCAAAATCGCCCCAAACGATTGCGTCGATGACGGCGTTGAGTGTCAGGTGCCTGTTGTTAGGGGAGAAAAGATTTCTTTTGAGCGGTTTTTGTTTCGACCCCTCGGTACGAGTACCCCGGATCTTCCTCGACATGTTGTTTCCTCTACTAAGGTTGTTCCCCCCACCAAGCAACTTGTTTCGTTGCAGGTTTTGCTTCCCAAGTGTTTTTGTGAAACGGATACTTGGAAATCTGCCAAACTTGGACCTCACCCTTTCTTAAAGGAATGGTTTGCCAGACAGCAGAGTGAAGTTAAAGATGCCTTGCAATCCCCCCATTCTTGGCGAGAAGAACGGCTGCGTGGCAAGTCCGGAGAGGAAGAAATTTTTCTGAAAGGAATTGCACGTGTTTTGGCCTCGAAAGTTGATTCTATTTTGGCTTGCTCTGGTTCTGGCGCTGCGTTCTGGTTGCCGGTTGAAGGCGCTCTGGTCGCTAAAACTCCTGTCAAGTGGGTCCCCCCTTTGTCGAACGAGAGCAAAGTTGGCTATCTCCAACGAGTCGCTCATGAAGCTGGAGGCAAGCCACTTGCTTGGAGGAAAGGCGGGGGCTCTGCATTAGGTATTCGTGTTGGTTCTGATTCTTCAGACACTGGGCTTGGTGTTGCGTGGAAAGTTCGTGGGGTCCCTTGTGATTGGATCGAACAGGACCTTGTTCAGTCCCTGGAAGGTGCAGGCTGGAAAGAAATCGTTGTGCGATCTCTCCCGCAATACCGCAGACAACCTTGGGTTATCCGAGCCCGAAATCCTGGGAAATTAGGTGAAACTGTGGCCGCGGTTCAGGTGGGAGATGATATCCTCTTGACTTTGGAGAAAGCTCAGGCTGTTGGAAGACGACAAGTTACCGCTTCCTTTCTTAATCCCAAACTTTTCCCTTCCCCCCAAGAGTCTTCGGGTAAATCTATTGTTGTGCCTTCGCAGAAAGCCAAGGTTGATAAGCCTCAGGCGGCGCAAGCGTCTGGTGGTGAAGACCGCGAACGATCTCCTAGGAGACAAAAGACGCATGAAGTCAACGAATCCAAAGTTGCTGTTGCCTGCGACGTGAAGTTTCGACCTGATCCTGATTCATTTGATGAATTGGATTGCGGAGGCCAAGGACAGTGTGGGTATAATGCCATTGCCCTTGGTTATGCTTTGGGCCAGAAAGAGGCTTGGGAAGGCATCAAGGCCAAGGGGCCCACGAGAGGCCGCACTTTGAGACAGCAGGTGCACCAATATATTCTTGAACACCAACGCGAATTTCGTGAAACGTGGATTGCTGATCCCCACTGGAACAAAACCACGGAGGACGGTGATGTCCCTGTTTGTTGGGAGTCTTGGATGAAAGCGTTGTTGAGACCTGGTCGGTGGTTGTGCCAACATACGTTGCGCGCGGCTGCTTTGCGTCTTGGTGCTCGTATTGTTGTTGTCCGAGGTGGTAAAGAAGATGGCTGGGAGAAACCCATCGCGGTTGGAGAATGTAGAAACTTGCGTGAACCCATTGTTTTGTC